GAAAGTATATATATATATATATATATATATATATATATATAGCAATTAGATTTGATTTGACCTTACTTTCAAAGTGAACTTTATAAAGACATAATAAGTAAATTTACTAGCATCTCATGGTCCCCCATAATCTCCTCTATTAGCTCTGCTAAAGGCTTATCAGCACTATTTGGTACAAGGGCTGCAAACACAGCAGGTTCCAGGCCTGTGCACAATAATAGTATATAAACACGATTATCCCAACACATATCATTTTCTATCTTTTCATTTTTCTAATTCTATTTTCTTATATTACAGAAATGCAAGTGAATATTTTCATTACCACTGTCTGGGACGGCGTCGATCAACATCATCATCTCCTAACTAGTAAGGCCTGAAAGGAAGCAAAATCTTGGTAGTGATTTTGTAACCTGCAAAGATGTTAGACCACCATATTATTAGCATTTGTCACAAGGCAAGGCCAGAATATTATTTATTGACAAATTAATTAACTATGTATCTAACTTTTGATGCATCCACATTCGATTGCTTGGTATTCACCGCTTCCCAGAGTGAACAGTTAATCATGTCCTCAGTGCACAAAATCACCTGGACCAAAAATCCTTGCTGTCAAAAAGTTTGTTATTTTCATGTACAATCATACTTTTATTCATTGATAGATATCATTTACAAATAACTGAGTAGCAATGGAAGTTTATATGCTTCATATGTTAAAAAAAAATGTAAACACTGGTAAAATTAATGCTGATATTTTACCTCGAGAAATTCTCCATCCAACTCCTTCAGAAACTGTTGTATCTGTAAGAAGGTAAAAAACGTTAAGCATTCAAAGGCAACATACTACTACAAAAACAATAACATAGTAAGCAAAACACCTCTGCCTTAAGAGAATACATACAAAATTTAAACTGTAAATTGTGAGAGAATTTACCAAATCTGAGTCAGACCTTTGCTGCCTCTTCGAGTTGAAAACCCAACAACAATAGAGCCTGAAAACATAAAAATATGTGAAACAAAGTGAGGCCTCCAATAAAATATTTTATTATGAATCGTTTTTTATGATATTCGTGTGGCGCAAGTGAATTGCTACAATCTTTGTTGAGATAATATTCATATGCTTTGACCAGAAAAGGTAAACTAGAACAACAACGTAGAGAATTAACTATTTACATT